TGAGACGATGACAATGACAGGCTTATGAAGAAACAGCAAAAAATAGATAATTAGACATGCACTCTTATGGTATCTAATTAGATGTGGAAGTAAAGTGAATTTAAATTTAGACCTGAATGTCATGAGATATCTGAATTCACTGGGGTGAATGTTATTAATGCTGATTAAATTTAACAATTACTGGGCAATGTCCATCTCACCCTTTGTACATCAGTGATGTCTCGGCCTCTTACTCTAACCTGACTTATTTATGATTAGAAATGAAGAGCTCTACACTCTGCAGTTGTCTATGAACTACTGACCCTCCTCCACATTTTTAATAGGAGCTGTAAGCATGAAAATGTACTACTAATTACTAATGACTTATTTATTCTAAGTAATATAATGTGTGTGTGTGTGTGTGTGTGTGTGTGTGTATACTATAGTATAGTATCACTTTCCATATTATAAAGAATACAAATAAGTATGCAATGTTGGAAATATTCTCTATTTTAAATAATTAGTGTAGCCTATCTAAAAGCTTGGTGTAGCTGGCTTGTGAGAAGAAGCCCATTCAGCTGGTCTTATAGCAGTGTACTACTGACCCCTGCTGGTGCGATGGTTCTTAAGAAAAGTTTTAGGGAAGTAGAAAAATCAGCTTCTTCATTTATTTAAAATGTTCTGCTTACCTGCAGTTTTTTAACACAAGATTCAGTCTTTTCCACTAAACAAAAATCTATAAAATCAAATTATATGGCTGATAGTTATAGTATATCTTTTCACCAGACTGATTATATATAAACTATTCATTTACATTTATTAGTATATCTTTTCACCAGACTGATTATATATAAACTATTCATTTTCATTTTTTAATAATATATTTAATTAAAAAAATTGATGATTGGTGCCTTTTTTAGATCAATCACTAGACTGAGACAGGAAATATGGAGAGAGAGAGTGAGAACGATGAGGTTTTCAGCTAGAATCAACCCAGGGATATTGCAGTTGAGCCACTAGTCCACCAGGATGGCTTAAGTTACATTCATTTAACCTTCAACCTCTACAGCACTAGAAACATCAAAGCAAATTTTTGCAGCACTTACCCAGCGCAGGTGGATATAGTGTACATTGCTTTGCCAAGCAGGCTTGTGTATCACATCTGACTTAACTGTGGCAGGGGTCTGAGGAACGGATTTACACCGGTTGCTCATCCAATGTCATTAAGCCATGGGTCAGAGGGAGGAGGACAGTGCTTGTAAGTAAGACCTCTGGGGGAGAGCAGGTTCAAGAGGTTAAATCCATCTGGTACTGGACAAAGGCTCAATCAGGAAGGACACAGAGGGAACTTGTTATGATTCTGTTCATCATTCTATCTCATCTAATTCTATAGCAGGGATACATAATTATAAAACACGAAGGAAATGAGGTGGGATGGTAACCGCTTGAAAGTGTTTCTGCTCTCCCCAGTGATCAAGACCACAACCGAGTGTAGTCTTGCCAACAGAAAATGCATGAGATCAGACAAGCACAGGATACACATTATTAACAGTGCAAAAGCAGTGGCCCTGGAACCATGGTTGTCTATGAGTGGACTATCAGTCACCACCGTAAGGAAAGGCCCAATTACAAACATTAATTATGCTTCTTTGGCACTAACTCTATCACTCTCTTTTTAGCCTGGAGAACATTTAAGTCTGAGGCCATGGCTGCACACTCCCTCTTTTGCTATAATTCAATCTAGCTGAGGAAATTTGTCATGTTTGGCAGAACTGGACTCTGGGATGGGATGGGATATCCAAATGGACAGGGTAGCAGCGTCGAGCTCATCCACAGGGTAAGGATGTGAAGTCAGACAGAAAATGCAGTGTGATCTCAAAGACTGATTCTGCAAAGTTCTCCTAATACACTGTGAAAAACCTGTGAGCGAGGCAGACGCAACATGTTCCACATCAGCACGCCTCACAGCTCTTTACTGACACAGAAAATGCTAAACTGATACAGGCTTAATGTCAATTAGAATTTCTAAATACTGTGAAAGCAAGGAAACTGTGGAGGATGTGTGCAGTATTTCTCTGTATAGATGGATGTTAATTATAGGGAGTGAAATGTGCTTTTACTGTTAACAGCATCAAAGTGCCTGAGGCATGCTGTCTTTATATATAAAAGTGTTTTATTTATGAGGATTTCTTCTTTTGGACTCAGTTCCTTTGCCTTTGTGTTCACTAATTAGTGACATAATCAGGTTTACTAATGGTCACAGATTAGCTTGAGTGTCTTTCACACTATAAAAGACTTCATTCCTTTAACTACGTAAAAACCTTGTTGATATTAGAAGGTTGTTTCTCAAGTAGTAACTAATTTGCATTGGTATAAAGACATTTGACAGGTTCATTAAAATACATCTCTGTAAGAGAGTAAATGACACCCAAATTAAGGACTTCATCTCAAAAAATAATAGCAGTCTTAATGACACAAATCAGATTTAATTCATGATTCAATTAAAGAAGCTAATATAAGACAAAAATAGATTTGAAGCCAAGGAGATCCATAAAATGTGTAGTGTCTTTGTTGGATGAGAAATGTGTATTTTGAGCCCAGATAACTGAGATGATACAGCTCAAATAAGCATTTTCCATAGAGGGCCAAGAGTCTTTGAGCTTTCACTACACTACGTTAGCTGATTTCACTCATCACTTCCTCCTCTCTGCTTTAAGTTATGCTAATCAGCAAATCAGCTAGTGGTGGTTAAAATGGAAGCCTCGGTAGTCTCTGCCCTCCATGGTTGTTCATTCCTGTAATAGAGCATAGAGAAGAGCAAAACGCTGAGAGATCATACCCTTTTGACTGTTGGCACTGCTGGGCCCTTCGTGAACTGACATGACACATACTTTAACTGCAGCTGTGGCAAATCAATGCACTTTCGAGTTTCAAATATGCTATGCAAGCATAAGCATAAGCATGTAATCATTTCCTGCCCTCCTCACAAGTCGCCTGGAATGTGAGATTTTCTCCCCATCAACTGATTTCATGTCTGCCTCTGTTTCACACTGGTCCAGTGCCAATTCTACAAGTTTTTAAAATAACTGAATAGTTGCTTCATCAACATTATTCTTTGCATGGACCTCATATTCTCAAAACAGATTCTTTTCTACGTGTTCTTTGGTGTCCAGTTAACTGACCTCAGTTTCTTTCTGAGCTTGAGTGGCATGTCTCTGTGAGAAACACCGTGGATTTTATGAACAAAGGTTTTCAGATAAATGATTTTCAGATTTAAAAAAAGTAAATATTTTTATCAAGATTATTTTTGACTAGTTTTTATTGTATTGTAAATACAATGGTTTGACTTACATAATTGAAAAGAGCAGTTTCTCTAGTTTAATTTGATGCTTAACATTCAAGCTAACTTCGAACCCACATGTTAAAACTGTTAACTAAGCAATGGCTGTTTGAGGTGGGCATGGTTGTAACAGTGCATCTTCATATGACCACCCCCACCTCTGATGATGAAAATATCTGCATTGTGTGCATGAATTCATTTGCAAACTCAAGGCCAAAAGAAGTGTGGGTCAAGGAAGTACTTTGTCAGTTGGGGCCCACAAATCCTGCACCCCAGTGGCAGCCCTCTACATTTGTCACGTCTGTGACAGTGATTGAACCTTTATGTGACACATGCACATTTTGAAAGACAGAGCCCCCACCCACCAGACATACACACACACATCCTTGTATTTATAATTTTGCAGGTCTTTACACTGACTTAGATTATGTTCCTAGAGACCTACCCTAACCCTTACTCCAACCATGACGTGCTTGACCCTAAGCCTAACCTAACCTAAAGTGTTTTTGTCCCTTTATTCACTCACTCATTCTTTATTATTCAATAAAATTCTTGCATAAATTAGATAGTGTGACTTTCAGAAAACTGTCTTTTTGTTACACCCATCCCCAGCTAGTGTTACAAATCACCCCAGTAGTGGGGTAGGTTGTAACAACAGAACCTTTTGCATTTGATTTTATCTCACATATTCTTTGATTGTGTAGTCATCGTCCAAGGGGGTTTAATTTGTGGTAGACATATATGGGCACCATGTATCAAATTTTGAAAGACCTAGCACAAACAACCACTGAAATAGTGATGCTCAAACTAAATGTGTTACAATCATCCCCGTCTCCCCTGCTCTGTTATATCCAGCATTTCAACTGTGTGTTTTACAATTAACTTGCTAAAGTAAATTTTAAAAGTTACATTATGCTAAATGTATGCTGGATTTACTATTACTATTTACTAAAAAAATTCTCTCCTTCAGTGACTGCAGACACTTGGTCTTTACTGGCCTGTCTTAATTATTAGATGGTTTAAATGAAGCACCTGCACCCAACAAAACTCCACTAGTAGGGATTGAACAGGTCTAAGTCCTATTGCAGTCAACTGATTATAACAATAATCACTTTGTTTGGCCAAGTATGTTACACACACAAGGAATTTGTTTCCGGTACAGAAACAAGGTAGACATCTGCGGCACTGACTCCCACTGATGGCTCTAACCACAGGGGGCAACTTGGGGGTTCAGTGTCTTGCCCAAGGACACTTCGACATGTGGACTGTAGGCACCATGACGTGAACCTCCAACCAACCTCCAACCCTCTGGTTGGGAGACCACTGCTCTACCCACTGAACCACAGTCACCCACTGAGGTGCATGAGACATCTGTTCCCTGTTCCATACTATCACCCATAGATTTCACTGATTAAAAGTTCAGAATTGTTGTGCTTTGATTAGATCTTGTCTTTTACTTCCCAACCTGTTCTCATCCAAAGTACAACTCAGTATTCCCAGATTACCAGACTCCAGTTTTCATGGACAACAGAACATCATTATGCTTATTGCTTTCACCGATTATCCTCACTATGTACGGTACATTAGCGAACTGTACGATTGGCCAACCCCCTGCCTGCGCAATCAACAGAGAGCATGAATGAATGATCAGCCATTAGCAGGTCGGGTGTAAACTGTGAAAATGGGCTCTCACCCCAGTGACTGCAGGAGGCCTTGATTTGCTGTAGCCTAGCTTAGCCTAGCATCCGGCTAGCAAGGCCCCACTTGTTACACTGTGGCAGTGCAGCAGCTAGCGTTAGCCTGCTCTGCCCAACGTAATGCAGTGGAACACGGACTAGTGTAGCGTGCTGAAGCCCAGTCTAGTGAAGTGCTAAGACTCCTTCCTAGCATATGCTTGTGTTTAATGCAGCGACCTGCTTCTGCGTGGTGAGTTTAGACATACCCTGCAGTCAAGGTATTGTGTGTGCGTTTGTGTAATATGTAATCAGCGTGCCTCAAACAGGCAGAGTATAACTAGGCCTGGCGTGGTGACAGTGCTTTAGACCAGTTCGTTGCAAGCCCACGCTGTTTCAGTTGCTATTTGTGGCCGTGGACACTAAAACTGGAGTCTGTACCTTGAGATGTCAGCCAAGGCCCGAAAGGTTAAGGTAACAACGAGAAGTGTCACTGTGTGTGTTTGCCATTCATTGTGTGCCTCAAGTTCCTTTAGCGCTTAAAGCTATGCCTGCTCACGTGTTTGTTCTTTGACCTCTGTGACATACATATATGCGTGTGCTTGCCTGTGTAAATGCTGTTTTAGTGCGTTTATGATGTACAATACATATGGGCGACTGTAAGAGAAGCGGAGAAAGAGAAAATGGTTTGCTAGTGTCACAGAAAGGTTTCATCTGTGTCTCAGAGGAGATTTGTGTATGGCTGTGTGTGTTTGTGTGGATCATGCACTGTGGCTTCTGTGGATGCTATTAGAGCCAAACAGTAAATGTTAAAATGACACAGTAATGAGGAGGAATACATTTATGAAGTTAGTTAGTTACCTCCTACACTGCAGGAGGTTAAGATGCACTTTCTTGGTCTTTTGTTACCTTTTTAGCTAAAAAAAAAAAAAAGAAGCTTGAATATACCTTGGCTGAGTGATGTGTACGGTACATGGCTTAATAATTCAGGCTAGAGATAAAGGAGATGGCTTTTTAATATGAAAGAACCAAAGATAACACATTAGTCACATCCGACAGGCCAAGACGCTTCTGATCGTGTACAGTTTTCTTCTTTATTGAGTTTGACATTGTTGAGGCACAGGAATGAGACAGACGAGCGAGTGTGACACTGTGTTTCAACCTCATGTTTGCTTGGCTTTTCCACCTTCACACCCCAGTCTAATTTCACAGTAGAGAATCCTGGCTACATGATGGCTTGTTGTACTGCCGTGAATCAGTGGACCAGAGTGGACTCAGGGCCGCTGACTGAGCCCATGGCTCAGTAACATCAGCTCAACAGGCTGAAGCCTGCATGTGCATGGTTAATTTGGTTATTATTGTCACTTCTGTGTGTCCCAGTGGAGCCGAGGCATGTTGGTTTGTGAGCCAGGTTTTAGTTCCACTCACTAGTCTAAATGCACACGTGAAGGCTGATGTGAGGTCCCCCTGGGCTGCTCCCCTCTTCATGTGTGAAAACTCTATCCAGCACCGACTACATTAGTTGGGCATTTTTTCTTTGATTGACAGAGATGGCAAAGCCCTAGTGAGAGAGTTTTGGGTCTGCTCATTTCCATGCACTTCTGGTTTTATTTTGTGAGTCAAAGTAATGCTTGTTGACTCATGTATAATATAGAAAATGCATAAACACACATATGCAAACTATATTTACATCTACAACACTTTTTGACATAAGAATAGATCAGCTAATTGCATTGTAAATAAACAGAGCTTGTCAGTGAGTTTTTCTGATATTCTACTCACAGTGCAGTAAGATTATGTGTGTATGTATGAGTAGCTGACACAGGACAGTGAACACTAACACTTCACAGTCAAGTGGCTCTATCTGTTACAGTGGTGTTCCTTAAGCGATGACCTCTCTGTTCCCTGCCACTGAACAGCCTAAGGAACCAACAGATGCTTATCCAGCTCTGTCATATTGACATCGCAGCACTTAATCAGGCTTCTCTGTCCGTCAGTAGAAACATACATTAAATTACTGCTCTAAATCATTCACACACTTGATTCTAGACACTTGTTTTGAGAAATATCCAAAGGTCTTCCATAAACTGACATATTTTCTCCATCCCCAAGTCTTAATTGGCTCATCTCTCGGATGTGGTCAGTGGCTGTGTGATACAGGCAATGTGTGCGTGCTCCCCAAATAATGAGTAACCATTAAATTCAATAATTGTTGAGCTTTGCTATTAAACTCTCTCTAGGAATTTGTATATTAATGTTGCTTTTTGATCTCGTATCTTCGACCCACTGACGTGGCATCATAGCTGCTGTTGCCCTGGTCTTCGTGCAGGCTGGAGTCGTGATAATGAGCAACAGGATCAGTGTAGCAAGGGACTGTTACACAAATACTGGATGCATGTGCTGTAAAGTGCAAACCCTCTTCACTGGATTCACCAGATTTGTGCCAGTTTATGCCCCAGTGTGCTCAGCTGCCTTCGATATGCAGCACCCAGGCTCATTGTAAGAGCTAATTCAATTGACCTGGGGGTGTAAACACGTGTATGTGGATATAGCCAATTAGGAGAGGTGCAACGCTGAACTGCCGTGATTTGTTGTACCGTGAGGACAATCGCCAAATGTGATACTGAGACATTAAGGCAGCAGCACATTTTGTAGTTTTGTGTCGAGACAAAAAGAGTGAGAGGGGGTTCAATGTAGGCCCAGCTAGTGTCCCATGCTTACTTGGGTGTAATGACCCATCAGTGGTGACATCTTGTTTCATCAACTTCTGCTTCTCTTCACTTGTCTGTCTGGGACCAGTCTCTCTCTCTGTCTCCTGCCCTTTTCCCCTCCAGCCTCTTGAAATCCATCTTCCTCTCTGATGTTTTCCATTTTTATCCCTCTATTACTGCTTATGTAGATGTGAAGGATAACACTGAACCATAGAGGACACCCAGAGTCACAGCGTGATGTATACATATCCTGTGAGGGCGTTGGCCAGAATGGCTGAAATCAGCAACACCATGTTATCTTTCATAGCAGCATCTATCACAGTGTTGCAAATGTATATACAAAACTGCATTTAAACCAGTCAAACTCGGTAAAATGAAATGTGGCCCATGAGACAAAACACTTTTTTTTTTGGGCTCGCTGAGTGTCAGCTGGGATTGGCTACAGCCCACCTCGCCTCTCTGCAGTATAAGCATTATAGATAATTGATTAATGGATGGATGGTAACTTTTTTTGTATTGCAGTTTGCCAGAATCATTAATGTGGATGTTTGAATAATGATAAGAGTAGGATCCAGGTGTCACTGTCGCTGCCCGGTGAGCCTGACTATATCTAGCCGATACCTCTCAACCTCCTGCACAAGCTCGGGCTCCTTCCCCACCAGCGAGGTGACATTCCATGTCCCCAGGGCTAGTCTTCGTGTCCAGAGATCGGGTCGTCGGGGCCCCTGCCTTCGACTGCTGCCCAATCCCCTGTGCACCGGCTCCTTATGGATACTCCTGCAGGTGGGGGGCCCATGGGAGGACGTCCCCATGTTGCTCGTTCAGGCTAAGCCCGGCCAGGCCCCGTGAGGGGAGGCCCGGCCACCAGGCGCTCGCATTTGAGCCCCAACCCCGGGCCTGGCTCCAGGGTGGGGCCCCGGCTGCGCCATGCCGGGCAACATCACGGTCCTTGATTTTAATCTATTTATAAAGGGCTTTTGAACCACTCTTAGTTTGACCCGTCACCCAGGGCCTGTTTGCCTTGGGAGACCCTACCAGGGACATATAGCCCCCGACAACATAGCTCCTAGGATCACTCGGGTACTCAAACCCCTCCACCACAATAAGGTGGCGGTTCAAGGAGGGG